TTTTCAATGAACCAATTTATTAATAAAACTTTTAAATGAGACTGTAGCCACTCAATTATTTTTACCTAATTAAATTTAAATTTTTATAAAAATAATTTTTGTAGGGCCGGTAAACTATCCTCCTAGCCTAACAGTTAAAACAAAGAATTGAGCGGATATTTTTCGTACACTTTTGTTACCCACCCCCATTTTTTTTATTCCTAATCTGATCGGCTATAACTTTTTATTCTTAATTCAATAAGAATTAATCTTATATCAAACAAAAGCCCTCGATAGGCTCTATTCCTTTCTCAACTGGATGGATCAAGTTTGATCACCCATTTAAAAGCTACAACTCGATAAGTGCAATAAATCAGTGTTTTACACAGTTATCGACTTGTAACTTTTTAATGGGCGATCAGATTTGATCCTCTACTTTTAAAAAAAATAGAGCTAAAAAATAGCACTGATTTATTGCACTTATCGAGTTTCGAATAATATAAAATTCATTCGTAGTGGATTAGGCATCAAAATCAAATTGGGAAAAAAGAGAAATCGGGGCGGATAACACAAGAGTACCGATTTTTTGTTTTTGGAACATGACAAACTATGTCTGGGAATTGCTGGCTGGGAATTGTCTGGAATTGCTTATTGGGTCCTTAATTTCATTAAACATTTAATTTAAACCTCTTCTTCACGTTTCCCTAATTGTACCCAAATAAAAGTTCCTGGAATTTTTCCATTATTTAAAATTTGAAGCAAATTTGTAAACATCCAAACAATAAATAAAAGTTTTCGAGAATATTTTCTTATCGAAACAATATTCGAACGTTGATGGAAATCAAAATCTATAGAAATTCTCTCTCCATTTATTTCATCATCCAATTTTAATTTTTTTTGAAAAATATCTTTCATTTCTTTAACGAGTTTTGCAACATTTTCTAAAACTTTCTTTCGTTGAGAATTAAGGCATTCATCTCTTTGGCATCTCGAAAATATTGTTGCTTCTCTCACAAATAGATCAGCGTCTTTCTTTTCTGAGATATAAAGTGTGTGACTTAATTATAAGGTACCAACATTTTAAATTATATCTCGAGTTCTTTATGAATTGGTCTGAATATAAGATAAGTTACAACAAATAGTATTCGTTGATTTTCGGGGTTGGAAATCTCGCTGATAGAATGATGCTAAAACTTAGTTTCCTTTTTATTTTCTACTAATATCAATAAATATTTTTACAGAAATTTTTGTGGATTTTTTCGATTTATACATAATATTTTTTCGGGGGTTTCTTTATATTAATGGTACACTAAATTCTTTGAAAAAAAATCATAAAAAAAATTCAACTTCAATAAATTCGAACCAAATTTTATATATTATATCTAAATACTGTCTCTTATCTTATAACTTCTCTAATATTCAGAACAGTTCATAAAGTAGAACTCGAGATATAATCTAAAATGATGGTGCCTTTATAACTATCTTATACATTTTATAACAAATTTTATTATATTCAGAACACGTGTTCCATGACGAATATTTAAGTGATTTTGAATTTAGATACTGCCCAAATTTGCGTTATAACTTTGTCTAAAATTTTATTGGTTACTTATTGAGCAGTAATCATTAATTGCCCTAGACTTGAGTAAATCTTAAACATATAATGGCCTTTACAAGTATGTATGTTAAAGATAAACCTGTAAACCTGTTTTGAGTCAAATCTCAACCCCTTCGGGGCCAAATTAGGCTGATATATGAATGAAAGTGTGGTCTCGAGATTCGACTGTATTTCAGATAATCATTCAGAATTCAACTGCTCTATAGATGACTAGGTCTAGAATTATTTTTAAAAATTAATTCTGTCCCCGCATTGTACAATAAACAAATTACGGAGATTTTTGCTCTTATTTTAAATTTTATAAATAATTTTATTACTTAAACATCCTTCAATTTTCAGTCTGTCAGCAGCAATTCCACCAATACTTCTAAATAGAATTGAATAATTATTCATACCGTCATCTATCTCCAATTTTTTAAATTTTATCCAATCTTCTGTACAAAAATAACATTCAATATCATTATTGCCGATAACTTCTTCCCCTTTTAGACATAAATTTAATCCGCTAATGAAAATAATATAATCAAAAAGAAATTCAGATTCCGTTTGTGAAGGTGTTAATTCTATAAAAAAGAATTTTTATTTCTATCAGAATTTAATTAAATTGAAGTAATACACTAAACCAATTTAGTCTAAACTCTTAATTTAAGTTTGATTTTTTTTAATTTTATTGACCATTGTCTGAGGGAATTGCCCAGCGATGCCTCCAATGTTTAAGACACTCGAGACTCTCTCTTAGATCGAGACACGAAGACATTCGGGACACAAGATTTTTAATAAAACATATTTCTGTAAAATCGAGGGTAGACTAGATTTGTAATAAAACAATTCTTCCTGAGTTTTATATTTGTTTAAGAGCAAAATGGCTAGGTTGATCTGCGGCCATTATTTAGCTTGTTTATAAAATATGTTTATTCAGGAGTTTATTTTTTGTTGTATATATTTTACCAATTATTTAGATAATATAAATGAAAGGAACACTATTAGAGATCGGATCAAACAAATATTTGACGTTGGAAAATCAAATATTTGATCAAATTTTATTTGATTTTATTTGATCAAATATTTGTTTGATGAGTTTTGAAGAAAATCAAATTTTTTCAAATACATTCAAATATCAAATAGTTTGATTTGATATTTGCTTTTGCCGTTTGTCCGATCTCTAAACACTATAATGAGACCAACAAAATTGAAAAAAATTAAATAATTTTATCAGAATTTTCAAAATATAAATTAAATTCCGATCGTAAATTATACCAATAAAATTAAATTTATAAATTTCAAAAATTATTTTATTTTACCTTCACTAATTGGAAACACCGAACAAGAAGCAAAAACAATTTGAGTAAATAAAAAAATTAAAATCATTTTTATAAAAATAATTAATTAAAATAAATTTTTGTTTAAATAAAAATATTTTTTTTAATTTTTTATTATGAAATTAATAGGTATTAGGTAATGCTTGTCTATACATTTATTTATTTTGTCTGTAAAAGGACATGAGAGAGGATATTTAAAAATTATTTCGGCATATGATGAAAGGCGAGAAAAAAAATAGATAAAATTGATTTTGGGAAAAAATTTTTTATATACAGGGAGTTAAGAAATTATAACCGCCCTTGAATTTTTTGAGTTATAACCCCCCTTTATTAAAATTTTTGTTTAACAGTCAAAAAATCCACATAAATTTTTTCTGAACTTATCTACCAATATAGATAAAAAATACAAAAGAAATGAAGTAGCTAATTTGAATAAAATTAAAAAATTTTTAGAAGTTCTGGAATATAAAATTTATTTTTAAGAATTTTCTGTGCCATATAAAACTTGTTCATAAAATTTTTTATAAATTCAACAAACGTTTAAATTATTACATGCCAAGATTCATGCATGTCTATTCATGTCATGTCTATTAATATTTATGTAGTAAAAGCAAAATCAACATGAGAACATCTTGGAAAATCCTAAAGCAATAGTTTATGTATTAGGGTGAAGCCGATAAGTGTCCTAAACATTTCCTGCCACACTGTAGATCTCTCAATGCTCCTCAACTTATACCCGATATCTCCCAAACTTTTTGAAAATATCGGGGTCTCCCAAACTTATTCCCCTATATCGCCGTTAACTTTGATATTTGTTATATCCAAATTATAAATTCCAAAAATGTATTTATAATTTTGTCTTCAGCACTGGCTCCATAATAATTCACAACATGACATGAAATTTTGCGAATTTTGTTTATGAATAAAAATTTAATTTTCTTCCGCTTTTTTTTTTGCTTTTTAAAATTCAAAATTCTCCCAGCCCTGGAAACATTTAATTTTTTTTAATTTAATTATAGTTGTCACGAATAAGTTGGAAATAATGTGTCTAGTTTATACTAGAGTTGGGCGGGATCGGGATCCCGGTCGGGATCGGGCGGGATTATCCCGGTTTTTTTGAATCCCGATCCCGATTTTTCTGATCCCGAACCCGAAAGACAAATCCCGATCCCGGTTTTGGCCGATCCCGATCCCGAGCCGGGATCGGGACCGGGATCGGGATTAGCAATCGGATCCCGATGAAATCGGGATTTTATAAATTAATGAAAATATAAATTAATGAGCTGAAAAGAAAGCAATTTGGCTTCTACGCCATCCAAAATTTTCAAAATTTTCGCCTGCGGCGCTAAAAATTAAGATTTTGGCTTGAGAATCTTCGAAATTTTTCAAAATTTTTGCCTCCGGCGGTGAATAAGAAGAGACTCATTTATAAAACTATCGACGGAATGGATTTTAACGGATATAATGGATATCCTAGATGTCCATCTAGATCCCAATATCTCATTAATCAACGATATCCCTCTTAATCCATCAGAATCACCTTATCGTTAATACTTTATCCCTCCTCCTTAATCCCTAATACGCCAAGAACAAATGCGCGCTGGGACTTAAAATCAATATTTCAGCACAGCAGATAAAAATTATGGAATTATATTGAGGTATATGCAATGTAAATAAAAATTTAAATTTTTAAAATTTTTTTAAACTAAATCCCGATCCCGATTTTTCAATCCCGATCCCGTGTCGGGATCGGGACCGGGATCGGGATCATTAATCCGAATCCCGATCCCGATTTCGTCCAATCCCGATCCCGCAGTCGGGATCGGGACCGGGATCGGGATCATCATTCCAAAATCCCGATCCCGATTTTACGTCGGGATCCCGATCCCGCCCAACTCTAGTTTATACAAACTTTCCAAAATTATTTTAGTATAAACAAAGGAATTTTTTATAAATTTATTTTTATAAATTTATATTATTTCCTTGTTTTATAATTTTTTTATAAGCAATTACTAGAAAAGAGTTAAATTCAAAAATGGCTTAAAAATTCTTTCACAATTAAAATATTTTCTAGTAGAGACAAATTTTAAAAATGAACACAACATGGGTATATAATTTTTTCAACACACTTTCACAATCCGTAATTCCACCAAATGTTTTTGCTCTATTAATTGTCATACCTTCAGCCACTCTTTACATTACAGAATTAGGAGTGATTTTTCGTTTCAAGAAAACTTTTAAATCTTCATTTTTTAAATTATTTGCAGCTAGAACAATATCGGTAATTTAATAATTATTAAACAATACCGTGTATTGGGTATTTTATGGATGTGAATCCGCTCCGTTAATCAGGGTAAATATTGAAGGTTAATTGTTAAGAAGACAGATTTCTTCCATTTTTTCTTTATCATTCATCTACACTTTGTTTAAAAGTTTTCATCATTAGGGGTAAAAAATTGTCATCATTAAAAACATGCCAAACGCCAAAAATCAGCAAAAATTGATGCCAAACTCAATGATGCTCAGCATTATCGCTATGGATTTTTTGTGAAGCAGACTTAGATTCAAAAAATCTTAGCGCCGCTTAAGTTTGGTTAGGAGTTTCCTCTTGGACCATACTCATTAATGACACCAGAGCTCTCTCCAAACACTATTGCTAAGATTAAAAATAATAATTCGGCTCACATTTATGCTTGGAGTAGCCAAATATCCGAATTTTCGCTGCAATTAGGCGTTTTTTTAGTTAGAGCTTTTCGGAGCAGCTCCATGCTGGCTAAGGGTTTGGAGGAATATAACGAGGTTAAGGCTTCATAGAAGGATTTGACGACATTGAGGAGACAAAATTAGATTTTGGAAGGCCCTTAGGCAAGATTTCTTTATTTTCTAGCGCTGTCATCGAAAAATTAAAGAAAAACAATCTCAGAAATCGAGATTTAAACAATTCTAAGTGTTACTCAATTTTTTACATCTTTCTTCAGAGTATTTTGGGCTTGATTGGTCATTGTTTGTATATACGTTTTGGATGTGTTGGTTTTTTCCTTTCAATTTATCTAAAATTACCAGCTGTATATTTGTGTATTTTTAAATTCATGAACAATCATTTCTACTATGTGGAAGGCATGTCTACAGCAATCCTTCTTTTAAATAGATTAACAGCCCTTTTATGGCCATTAAAATATGAAAAGGTCCATTTGTTATTCTAAATTTTAATATATTTAAAATTCAGATTTGGAATAAATTATGGTATTGGGCAATTATTCTTGCTTATACTCTTCCAATAACATTAAGTTGGCATATTTTAATTTCAGAAATTGTTATCTGGGTTCATGATAATGAAACTTTTAGTTTGTATACACAAATAAAACCAAATGTAATTTTATTTTTTGAAAATTTGAATTTTTAAAAATTTATAGGAGCCAAAGGACACATTAACTACTTCATGGTTTTCCGTCTTATTCACAATTATTTGTCTATTAATTAATATTGCATGCCTTTATGTTTATAAAAAGACAACAATTGTCAGTTCTCAGCAAACTCAAAGCAAGCAAAAGACCGAGACACTTTTGACATTTACTCGCTTCTAACCTTTTTTGGGCAACTTTTATTTACTTTTTATACGGTAAAATGGAAATACATTGGCTCTAATTTAGGACATGCGTCCCTTGAGCCTTTATGCGTCCCATGAACTTTTATGAGTCCTAAAATTATTAGAAACGTTGATAGGACTTCATGCGACGCATAAACGAATCATGGGATGCACGTCCTTAACTAGAGCCAATATTTTTATTTAATTTTTGGAAACTATAATTTTAGATAATTCTCTACATTTCATCCTCCCCACTTCAAAAATTTATTAATCCAGATTTGGCTGAACTAATTTTCTTATCAATTTATAATCAGTATTCCTGGGTCAACGATATCAGTACAATTGCCATTCCTGCATTTTTGCTTCTTTGGGCATCTGAAATGATGCGTTCCCGTATTTATTCATTAATTCGAATAATTTGTTTTCTACCTAAAAATACTAATAATAATGTTGTTATGGTTATACCTATACAGGAGCGACGGAATTTTTCCCGACAACCCGAAGGAATGTTAAGCACGAGATAATGGAGAAGAACAAACAGATTTTTCTTTAATTCATCGAAAATTATTTGTTTATTGTACATATTTTTCAATAAATTGTCAGTCTGTAAATTTCGATTCACAAAGTTATGATCCTTAAGTTTGAGCCAAGGATATCACTGTATTGAATTTGTGGCAAATAAACTAGCATTAGTAATAAAATTTTTTTAATTTACTCGTGATTGTATGATAAAAATGCAACCGTACAAACCTTGAAATAGGTAGGATCCATAAACTTTCATTATTTCTGATTTATGTTACTTACAAAAAATTAATGGATTTTTTAAAATTTTAAACAGTTGGACACAATTGGTTAACCGAAATTGACCTATGTCCAAAACTACCCGGAATTCAATCCCAAAGATCCTTTCGGTCATTGATATTTCCGAAATAGGTACGTTTCGTAAATACTTTAATTAATTTTTTTATTTGATATTAACAGAAAAAAATCTATTAATGAATAAGACTTTCATGTCTCTCTTAAATGACGAGAAACTTTCGAATAATCTCTAAGAAAGAACTTTTGAATACTCTTTTTTAGAAGAAATTAACCTTTTATTGGACACCCACGTAACAGCAATTCTTTATATTTACGAAAATTTTATAAAAATCCTTTATAAAAATTACCAGCTAGACACAAAAATTTATTTATTTTACTTTAATTGTGAATACAATTATTGTCTTTGACATAATTTAAACTTACTTTAAATTGTGGGAAATTATTTTAAAGTAAATTAAATTTACTTTTAATTGTGGGAAAAATTAATTATTAATTTCAATTGTCATGTATATGTTGAAATTATGTATGTATTTTATACTGACTTTATTACAGAATTGTTTTACAGTATTTATTCTAATAGAATGGCCGTGCTTTTATTTTCAATACCCCTAAAAAGCCCATTCATTTGGAGGGGTCATTCTAATGGAGAGGCCATTCTTATGCAAAGGAGGCCATTCTTATGCAATTTGAATAAATACGGTAAATGTCGCCAGTGTCGACGCAGAAGACCCACAGACAAAAGACCCAAGACCATTTTTCTTATTTTTATTCTTTTGTGCTTTCATATTGGCTCCTTCCTATGGTCTTTTAGGGAGTTTTTACTGTTGCGAGTTTATAAAATTTTTCCCAAAAATGTCCAACTTCAGATGTATTAGGAGTGGGTTTCTCAATGAGGATAATGAAAATCGAATTGAAAGCGATAATTCTATTGAAATTTAATTTTTGTTTTGTTTTATGTGGGGTAAAAAATTTTCTTTAAAAATTTGAAAAATAGATCGAAAAATAAAGGCACAGTCGCTATTTGAAGCACAGTCTCTAATACACTGCTCCACATAACTATAACCTCACCCTAAATTTTCGAATTTCTTAACTTCTACTGAACCAATCGGGCTGATTTTTATTTTGTATTAATTAAAGCAGGTAACAATTCATATAAACTAGAGAAATTGAAAAAATCTCTATTCAAAAATTTTTTATCCAATTTTTTCAAAAAACACCCTCCACATAACTATAACCTCACCTACATTAATCATATTAGGAATGCTTGAAAAATTCTGAAAAAATTCACGCAAACATTTTCTTTGATAATAAGTAGAAAAGCAAAAAGAACGAAGTCTTTAAGTGCTTTTTTCATCGAGATCCAAAATCTCGAAAATCAACGGAAAATGGGGGGTACAGTACTTAAAAAATATTTTCCCAAGTGTAGACTGTAGATAAAATTTTTTATTATAGTCCATCTGAAAGCCAATAAAATTTACTACAAAATCCACTAGGTCCTATCCAGGACAAAAATTCTACCTTCGAGGAGCCTTGGGTTAAATGAGATGATGAATAAATTCACCCAAATCACCCCATAAAATGTCATTATTTCAAGTTTCTAAATTTAAACGATTACTCCCCAGCGATAAAATTTTTATCAATGATAGGACCTAGTGGATTTTGTAGTAAATTTTATTGGCTTTCAGATGGACTATAATAAAAAATTTTATCTACAGTCTACACTTGGGAAAATATTTTTTAAGTACTGTACCCCCCATTTTCCGTTGATTTTCGAGATTTTGGATCTCGATGAAAAAAGCACTTAAAGACTTCGTTCTTTTTGCTTTTCTACTTATTATCAAAGAAAATGTTTGCGTGAATTTTTTCAGAATTTTTCAAGCATTCCTAATATGATTAATGTAGGTGAGGTTATAGTTATGTGGAGGGTGTTTTTTGAAAAAATTGGATAAAAAATTTTTGAATAGAGATTTTTTCAATTTCTCTAGTTTATATGAATTGTTACCTGCTTTAATTAATACAAAATAAAAATCAGCCCGATTGGTTCAGTAGAAGTTAAGAAATTCGAAAATTTATGATGAGGTTATAGTTATGTGGAGCAGTGTAGAAGCACACCCTACGAGGGGATCGAAAAATAGAAGCAAATGTGCTTCAATTAGAGCATTTACGGTATTAACAAAAAGTTATTCCTGAATAGACTCATGTCTCCTTTTAATTGACTACATAAAAACTTCGAATAATTTAACTTTTCTTTCTTAAAAGAATATGATTAACCTTTTAATTGACACCCACGTAACAGCAATTCTTTAATGTACTTATGAAAATTTATAAAAATCCTTTATAAAAATTACCAGCTCGACACGACAATTTATTTATTTTACTTTAATTGTGAATACAATTATTGTCTTTAACATAATTTAAATTTACTTTAAATTGTGGGAAATTATTTTAAAGTAAATAAATTTACTTTAAATTGTGGGAAAAATTAATTATTAATTTCAATTGTCATGTATAAATTGAAATCATGTATGTATTTAATACTGACTTTTTTACAGAATTGTTTTCTAGTATGAATACAGTATTATTCTAATAGAATGACCGTCATTCTATTTTCAATACCCCTAGAAGGGTCATTCATTTGGAGGGGCCATTCTAATGGAGATGCCATTCTATTAGAATAAATACGGTAAATGTCGTCAGTGTCGACGCAGAAGACCCACAGACAAAAGCCCAAGACCATTTTTCTTATTTTTATTCTATTGTGCTTTCATATTGGCTCCTTAACTATGGTCTTTTTGGGGGGTTTTTGCTAGAGGTCGGCAAAATCGCACTTTCGGGATCCCGAGTCGGGATTTTTTTCTTAACCGAGGCCGGGACGGGATCCCGAGGGATAAATCCCGAAAAAATCCCGAATTTCAAAAATCCCGAAAATAATTATCCGGGATCCCGCCCGGGATTCGGGATTTTTTAAAAAATAAAAAATTTAAAATTTTTATAAATAAAGTGCATTAAAATACTGGAATTTATATGTAAATAATATTAACTTTGTAAAAATCTAATAGATTTAGAGGGATATCGGTGGATTAATCACTAGGTACCTTGATAAAATCCCACTATATACTAATCCATCCACTTTCCTCCGATAATACCTCCAGATTTCTCCGTTTGCAGCACCGCAAGCGAACATTTTGAGAATTTTGGAGCACATAAGTCAGATTTCTTCCATTTTCAGCGCCGCAGGCAAAAATTTTTAAAATTTCGAAGACCGTAGGCTAAAATATGAGTAAGAGATATTAATATGAGTAAGAGATATTACTCATATCTCTAAAAAGGATTTCAAAGAAGCAAAAGTTTGGACAAAATTTTTTGTAAATACGATACGGGAAACTAAAAGTGTAAAATATAAACGTAAACAGTTCGTGAGAAATCAGCTCCAAAAACTCTTATATTATTTAAAAGTTTCACGCAATTTATTTATTGTACTTTAATTGTGAATATTAATGTTGTCAACATTAAATTCACGCAAACATATTATTTAATTTTATAAAACTTTATTTTAATTCTAGAAAATGTTAATTATTAATTTTAATTGGCTTGAATAAATACATAGACAATTATTGTTTCAGTCGAATTTTTTAAAATTAATTTTTATAAATAAAAGGCAATATTTGACAATTGCATTATTTTTCATTTAATTTGTAACGAATTGTGATGTCGCATTTTAAAAACGGAAAGCGTGGGCAAACGGGGACGGGATAGAACCCTACTTAATATTTATAAGTTCGGTATACAAAACAGACGCCAAATTGGTCAATTTATATGTCATTCGAAAGGGCTCGCCGAGCTGACGAGGAACCTTTCGAGCTATCACCAAAAAATTTTAAATAGACGTGTAGAGCATGGTCGATAACCTATTGCCAATTTTTGGTTTTTCTTCTCCTGTAGAAAACTGAGCAATCGTTAATGTCACGCCGACAACAATAGACAATTTGAGCTTCTTAATCTCGGCTCGGACTCGAGCAACTGTGCCGATTTTGGTGTCATTCGACTTAGGTCGACGAGCTCTTTCAAATGACATATAATTTGACTAATTTGGGGTCTTTGTTGTATACCAAATATTTTCATTTAGAAGTACAGATAAAATTAAAAAATGAACACAACAGGGGTATACAATTTTTTCAACACACTTTCACAATCCGTAATTCCACCAAATATTTTTGCTCTATTAATTGTCATACCTTCAGTCACTCTTTACATTACAGAATTAGGAGTGATTTTTCGATTCAAGAAAACTTTTAAATCTTCATTTTTTAAATTATTTGCTGCTAGAACAATATCGGTAATTGAATAATTATTAAACAATACTGGGTATCAGATGTATCTTGGGGCCAAATCCGACTTTTTATTCAGACTTTTAGCGACGTTGCTGGAATTACCATTTTTTAACACCGCTAGGGACTATTAATGGGAGCTCTAGCATTATCTCGGCCGTATTTGACGTTTTGTGAGACATTGAGTTGAAATTTTGATCCGGCCCGTTCCATTTCAAAATCCTCTTTAGTCTGTTCGTAGCTAACTCTAGGAACCATAACCCAATAATACTACTCGATTTTTTACAACTTTCTTCAGAATATTTTGGGATTGCTTGGTCAATTTTTGTATATACGTTTTGGACGTGTTGGTTTTTTCCTTTCAATTTATATAATATTACCTGTTGTGTACTTGGATATTTTTAATTTTATAAACAATCATTTCTATTTTGTGGAAGGCATGTTAACTGCAATCCTTCTTTTAAATAGACTGACTGCTCTTTTGTGGCCATTAAAATATGAAAAGGTCCATCTTAAGTATAATTTTAAATAAGGTATAATTTCGGAATACTGAACAGAAAGCAAATAAGTCAAATTATATTTCATTCGAAAGAGCTCGTCGAGTTGAGTCGACTGGTGAAAAAATTTTCGAGCGGACTCATACATAGGCTGAGATAGAGGTCCCCGAAAATCCAAAAAGCATAGGGGGGACAAAGCTGTTTTTGGCGGTGAAAAATTTGAATATGCAAATTATACCTCATTCGAAAGAGCTCGACGTGCTGAGTCGAATGACACCAAAATCACCTAAAGCTGTTTTCATTTGACAAAGTTATGACCGTTTGTTTTTGTCCCTTCCAACGGGTCTTCACGGAAAAAAGTTTTTGCCGCTGCGGAGAAAGCCGAGATGTCGAGCGGAACGACGGCGCCGCTTCGCTACGGTCGCCGCGAGCGAAGCGAGCACGACCATAGCAAAGCACGGCCATCGTGTAGCGAAGACCATGCCCGGCCTACCCTCCGTAGCAGCACAAAAACAGTTTTTACTGCGAAGATTCTGTTGGTCATAATTTTGTTAAAAATCATCCAACCGAGCTGATTTTGGTGTCATTCGACTCAGCTCATCGAGCCCTTTCGAATGAGTTATAAAGCATATTCAAATTTTTTGATTCCAAAAAATTTTCAAATTTCGGGGGTCTGTAACTCGGCCATATGAAGTCAGAGTTCGTTGATTTTGGTGTCATTCGACTCAGCTCGAAGAGCTTTTTCAAAAGAGCTATTATTTGCATATTCGAATTTTTCACCCCTAAAAACTGCTTGGTCCCCCCTATGGTTTTTCGATTTTCGGGGGTCTATATCTCAGCCCCTTTATGAGTCCGCACGAAAATTTTTTCACCATTCGACTCAACTCGACGAGCTCTTTTGAAAGACATATGTTTTGCCTCATTTGCTTTCCGAAATTTTTTTTAAATAATTTTAAAATTCAGATTTGGGGTAGATTATGGTACTGGGCAATTATTATTGCTTATCTACTTCCACTAACATTAAGTTGGCATATTTTGATTTCAGAAATAGTAATTTGGGCGCATGATGATAATACAACTTTTACTTTGTATACAGTAATGAAGCCTGATGTAATATTTTGAGTTTTTATCATTTTTCAACAAATTTTTCTTATATAAAGGATACAAATGACGTATTAATTGGTTCGTGGTTTTGTATCTTTTTCACAATTATCTGTTTACTAATAAATCTTGCATGTCTTTTTACCTATAAAAGGACAAAAATTGCCAGTTTACAGCAAACTGAAAGTAAGCAAAAAATGGAAATGCGATTGACAATTTACTCGCTTTGGACTTTCTTTGGACAACTTTTATATGCTTTTTATACAGTAAATTGGGAATAATTCATGTAGTTAAACTATAATTTCAGATAATTCTCTACATTTCATCCTCACAACTTCAAAAATTTGTTGATCCAGATTTGGCAGAACTAATTTTCTTGACAGTTTTTAATCAGTATTCTTGGGTTAACGATATTAGTATAATTGCCATTCCTGCATTTTTGCTTCTTTGGGCATCTGAAATGATGCGTTCCCGTATTTATTCATTAATTCGAATAATTTGTTTTTTGCCTAAAAATACTAATAATAATGCTGTTATGGTTATACCTAAGTAAACAAGCTTTTATTTCTTGTACCTATGTATTACACAAAAGCAAACTAAATAAACTTTTAATTCTTTCAATATTTTTTTTTTGTTTTTTCATTTTATATGTATATCATAGAGAAGTCGACTCTATCTTATTACCCTTTAAAAAAAATTTTTTTTTAATTAATTTCTTCTATTAAATATAGTGGGTAATTATTGTTTCGACCTCTTCTGGAGGGTGTAATTATTCGAGAGGAGGTGCTAAATTTGGGGTATATCTCAATAAATCGAGGAGGGAATCTATTTATTTTTAGATAATGTTTAATAAGCTGTTTCAATAATTAAAATTGATAACGATTTTTTCAAAATATTTCAAGATTTGTGTAAAAAATGAGGGGGTAATTATTAAAGAGGGTAATTATTTGAAAGAGGGTAATTATTCGAGCATATACGGTATGTGTAATTAATTTGCTTAAAATCAATCCAATTTCCAAAAAAAATTTAAAAATATTTGAAGCTTGTTTTCGCTGTCATCACAAATCTAATATATTTTATTATTTTATTTCAGAGTCTTAACTTCCAAAAAACGGATTTGTTAAAGTTTTTTTCTAATTTTCCTCTAAATTTTTCCAAAAAAAAAACAATTTTTATATCACATGTTAATTCTAAAAATAAGGGAGGGGAGATGTTAAAGAGAAAGGCATGGTGGAGGGATTTTAGATGCACTTTAAAAATTCAATAGCTAGTCAGTCAATCATTTACCTATAAGGAAAATTGATTTAATGCTTGTCAAATTTAATTTTTATTAAATAATTTAATTAGCTTGTCTTTTTTAATTTAAATAATTAAATTAATTAATTTAATTAATTAACTTTAATAAGCTTAATAATTTAAATATAACCCTTTAAAATATAATGTTTTTCCTAAATAAGGTTATAAACATTTAATAGGTAACAGAGATGTTTTAAAACTGGAAAATCTTCAAAAATCGTAGATCGAAAACGAAAAAAAATTTTAAAAAGTGGAAATTATTTCCCCAAATTTTTGGTAAGATTGCTAGAGCGCTGTAAAACTGCAGGCACTCAGAGCTAGGCTATGTTGGCGGATCCTGGGAAATCCAAGGATACCTTGATCCGTGTCATCGAACTGTTGTTTGATGCGAATACGTTCTCCGTAATAATTTTCTGGAAGGCTGTTAATAAGATTAAGTGTGAATTATAGGAGTTTGAAGGGATATATATTTGAATTGAGATTTTCTTTTTTCAGTGACTCTGATCCCCGAACCCCGAAGGCTCTATCCCGGCAAGCCTCGATCCCCGACGATCCCGCCCCCGAAGGCTCGGGGTTTTGTTTATTAAATTTTATACTTTTATTTTAAAATTAAGTTTTAAATGGATTTCAATTACTATTATAGTCCGACTGAATTTTTGTTTTTTGAGTAATGCTGAAACTCGATTTACTTAGATTTTAATTAAGACTATAATCTTTGAACATTTTTAGGGAAAAAATTATTTAAATAAGCAAATGCTTATTTATTTAATTATTTTTTTGCTTCTACCAACAGCACCGGAAACAAATGCTTTTCCAAATTTATACAAAGGTGTTATTTTAGTTATTTCCTTTAATTAAATCATAAAAATTAAATTAGGCATTTGTAATGTATATAACAAGATGAGTTTAATTTACAATCCATTGAATGGTTCTACAGAAATAATTTTGGAAAATTATTTCAAAAAATTAATTTCAACGGAAGATTCCAATCAGATTAACATAATGTATCTGAAAATATCAATACTTTCTCAAGTATTTTTGACGGAAATTGCATTGGACAGAGCTGAGGCAGGAGATAATATAGGGTTAAATAAATATGTAAAATATTTATAAAAAAAGATTTTTTAAAGATTATTTGAACGATTTACCATGTTTTGTCCAGTTAACTTTATTTTGCCTTATGAAATACGTTTGTGTGATATAGTAGCAACTTTTAAAACAGAATATAAAAAATTAGTAGAAAAAAATTTTGAAAAAAATAAAAAAAAATATTCTACGAAAGATTGCACGAATGCAGATGACGAAAAATTAAAAAAAATATTTTTGGAATTTCAAGAAGAAATTTGGGAAGCTAATTTTATTGTGTTCTTTAAATTTTTTATAAATGAAAAGGGAGAATCATTTCAAAAATTTTTGCGGTAGTTTTATTCTGATATGAAACGATTATTTTTTTCCTAAAATTTTGGCAAGTTAGATACATTAATCAAAAACTTATTTCTAAAAAAATTTTTTTCTTTAGTATTTTTAAAATATAACGGAGTTTTGATAATCTAATACATATGTTACTATATTTTTTCTAAAATGAAAATTATTAAAAATTTTTACAAATATTTTTAACCTGTTATCATTGAATATTTTAATTAAATACTAAGATCTTTTTCTGACAACAAAACCCGAGTAAACGAGAGAATGGAAATGGTTTTTGGATCGCTGCGTTTTTTTGTTTTACATGAAATGCTTCCGGAATATTTTGGCAAACTAGGTATTAATATTTAATTAATGTATAATTAATTAAATCGGATACCCGGATCGCCCAACCTTATTTCAGATACAAAGCTGACGCATGACATTAGCATATATGTAGATAGAGCTTCGTTTTACAAAATTTTACAGATTATGGAAGCTCTACTATCCTAAACTCCGGTTTCTCTCTTAAAATTGTCCCAAAATTTTGACATTTTTTCTAAATTAGTTAAAAATATTTTGTGTCTCGTGGCAAAATACGAGATACAAGACATCCAAAAACACAAGATTTCGCGAGATACGAGACGAGCTTTACCCCTGGTAAAATTGTATTTCTACTCATTGTAAAATTCTCAAGAAAATACAGTAAATATATCTACCGACCCCTTAAGGATTCTTTTGAATTTTAATTTTGAGTCATTCGAAAGCGAATTAAATTTGCTAAAGGATAGTAATAGTAAAATTTTCAGAAAAAATGGGCTTTTTATTTTATAAAAAATAAAGATAATTTTATTTTATAGAAAACATTTCTGTTAAAAATTATTTAATTAAATTGTCTGATGATTCTCATGCAACTGAAATAAATCTATTTGATGATAAAGCTTTAATTAGGATGTTTTATGATTCATTAAAAACTTTAAATAAATTATCTGATGATTCTATTTTAAATAAAGCAAAATTTAAATTAACTAAAACAAAATATCAGCAATGGAGAATATTACATGTTTTGGATTATTTTCTTTATAAAGGATGGTATAAAATTAATATAGAAAATAAAGGTAATTTTGAGGAAATTAAATATTTATTTTTGTTTTTAGTTGGAATTGAACAAATAAAAAATATTTGGAAAACAATATTTGAAAATTATTGGAATGGAAATAATTTCCTTAAAGAATTTGTTTTGAATTTTGATAAAATTGAGGAGGAAGAAATTGAAGAAGAATTGGAGGTATTTTAGAAATTAAACTTTAATTTAAGTTCAATTTCGAAAATTAACATAATATAAAAATAGACAGACAATTTGTATGAAATTAAACTTCAAGTTTAATTAATGTTGTTTTAATTTAGTAAAAAATCTTCAGTATAAACAAAAGTTTGGGGGTATTCTGAGGGTTTCAAGGCTGGGCATAATTGCGGATTGCGTAAAATTGATGTTTTTCTGAATTGTGGATTGCGTTTGTGGATCTTAAAATTAAAATTGTGGGTTGCGGATTGACACTCAGGAAAGATTATTTTATTTGCGTCCGGCCCTGTTCGTAACACTAAATACATTAAACTTAATAAATTATATGGTTAGTAATAAATAAAATAAACTCTCTCTTCCTTTCTCAAATCAATTTAATAAACAAATACAAAATAAAATACTTTTTTACTTTTCTTTTCAAACTAAAACAAATAAATAACTAACGAACGAATGGGAGGGAAAATAGAGTTTACAATAAATAAGGGGAGAGAATAATTGAATGGGGTCAACAAATGGGGAAAGAACGAAAGAAAAACCAATGCTATTTCTTTTTAGCATCACATCCCGCTCACTTCAGATGACGGCGTCCTCGACGTCAGAATGAGTTCTTCCATCTCGGTCTGTCTTCCGGAAAGGTCTTGGGTGGCGAGGTAGTTCTTTCTTTTGTTGCTCTTGGATGTTTCAGTGTCAAAGTTGATCATGGGGTTCTCGAGGCCGACTCGATTTATGTAACCCGATCTTCGATGAAATTTTTCCAATAGGACTCCAATGGTGAGAACTTCGGTCACCGAAACCGATTCTACCAGTCCTGATTCTTCCTTCCGTTTCCTTTTCTTCCAATCTTTTTCAATTTCAACATCCTTTGAGTCTCGAATTACATCTTGATTTGTCGCCGAGACAAATTTCAAGACCTTCATCGGTTTCAAATCAAGTATTTGACGGTTCATTTCCTTCGGAAAGTTCTTAAAATTCTCAGAAAGTTTAGGGACACTGATCAACGTGACCAGTTTTTCAAAGTTCAAACACCTCCGAACTTCGAGAAAAAATCGTCCCATGATTTTTCTTTTCAAAAATCCAAATTCAAAATCTTCTCCAAAATAATTCCTTAAATTTTCCTTCCTTAGAAACTCACATCTTAGCTTTGCCAAAATTTTTGAATCCCTCAATTTTGACCTTAACATCTTACTTTTTTCAACAATATTTTCATTTTCTTTCAAAATTTCCAATTTGTCTCTTGTTGGTAGGATTTCCTTTTCTGGATCCTTTTCAATCACTTCCAATTCAAATTCCAAAACACCTTTTTCTTCAACTTTTTCCTCCAAAATTTTCAACTCATAACACTCTTCACCTTCTCTTAATTCTTTTAAAGCATCACACTTTTCACTTTCTTTCTCCACCAAATCATAACGATAATCACCTCCTTCTCCTATCACTTCCAAATCATCGCGATATTCCTCGCTTTCTTTCCCTTCCAAATCAGAATCTTCTCCTAATTCTTTCAAATTATCGCCTAAATCACTTCCTTTTTCTTTCAATTCCAAACATTCCTC